CAACTCCTCTGCAATTGTAATCACAATTTATAATCATAAATAATTAGATTAAATTTTCCTCCAATGAACTTGAGTAAATGTACAATTATATTAATTCACACAAGATCACAATTGAAGCAATTAATTAAGAGTAGAATAAATAAAATATAACTGAAATTTAAATAAATAAATAACGTCTACTATAAAATCAAAAATACCAATTTTCTCACCTCACTACTTCCGTACAACAACCCAACAGCCTACTTCTTTTCCTTTCTCTCTTTTCCCTCTTCCTTTCTCACTCTTTTCCCTCTCCCTATTCTCTTCGCTGGTCCGGCTTAGACTTCTCTAAGCTCACTATTTTATCTGTTATTTCTTGACTTTGTTGTTGTCTCTTAACAATTAAGAAACAGGTGATGCATAAGGATATAAAACACTGTGATGAAAGTCGGTTTACAACCACTTTTCTCAATATTTATCTCAATCCAATTTATTGTATCACACAACACAAAGGCAGACACTACTGTTCCCATTCAGTGAACACCCACACCGCTTATATGGTAGCACATCTACGTGCACGTGTCACTTCAGTGTTCACTTTGATTTCCCTTTTTCGTGACTCATGCATGGTGGTTAGTAACAGCTTTCCCAAAGGAAGCTTTTAGAACTACTTGCATTGCATACATATGAGTAGGTGGGATGTGGGCCTGACTTGGCCCAAAAATTTACCTGTATACATTGACTTGGGGAAACTACAAAGCCTATAAGCTTTAAATGTAAATATACTGTTATAATAGTATAAATTAAAATTAGTTTTCAAATCATCACACCATTTCTATTTTTTACTAACTTCAACACAACACTTAACCTTAGTGTACAAACCCATTTCATGGTAATCCACCAACACAAACAAATCACTTATTCCACCACTATTAATTATATTACTATTATTATTTTCAATTGGGTGTCAATAATAAGCTTGACACAAATTATAAACTTCACAAAATAAACTACTCCATACAATATTCATATATAAATCATGTTAAATTAAAATTAAATTATACTAACGAAATTGATTTTTTGTATCGAGGTCTTACATGAAAATCCTCACGACTCGGAACGAACGTTTATCCTGCAAAACAAAGGGACGCCACCTCGAATGGCACCGGTGAGTGTTAGTTGAGGACCCTCCGAGGATCAAGTTAGTACTTGTAATTATATCACATAATCATTATATAATATTCTGTTTAGGGATTTTTTCTTGTACCTTCTTTAACGGCTCGGTGCCCTATTTATGGCTATCGATTGGAATCAAATTGGTCCCGCAGGAGATCCGCTTGTGCGAGATCAAAAGAGATCGTTTGTTACCAGATTTGTCAAGAATATGATTTATTCCTTTGACTTTCTCAAATTGTGCCCAGGTTATCCTTACCCTGTTGAACCACGTCGTCATTCATTATCCCGAATAAGAAATTTCATCATTTTTATCCGATAAAAATCTTTATCTTTAACGAAATATGTCGAAGAGGTCTGGTGGCTGGTCAAGGTAGGTTATGTTTATTTTTCCCTATCGGTAGGCAAAAGGATTTAAAAAAAAAAAAAAAAAATTATCTCTATTCAATAAATTATTTTTTTTGATAAGACAAATAAAAATATATATATTTATTTTGACCGAACTCAAAAAAAAAAAAGTTACCACTTTTGACATGACGGAAAAAAGTTAACTTTATTAAATAAATATCTTTTTTTATTGTGTGTGTATATATATATATAAAGTCACTATGAATAAATTATCTCTTTTGACTGTCAAAAAAAAAATTATTTGTATGGAATAAATTTGTTTTTTGAGAGGACCTCGGAAAATACAAAAAGAAAGGAAAAAAAAAAATAGTAAAAAAAGTAAGGAAGGTAAAAAAAAAAAAAAAAAGTTTGTACAAAGAATAATTATGACATTATTAATTAATGGATATTTTAATGAATTCAAAAACCTACTTGTCATTTTCTTTAAAAGAGTAGTGATACTCACACCGCAGTAAATTGTCTAACCGAATAATTTTTAATTGACTATACAAAATACAACTAAGTGGAGGGCTCCACATCCTTATTTGTTGCATAATTGACCAATTAAAGAGTATGTCTAGCAATTCACTGCAACTATTCGATGAAAGAATCATTTTCCAAATAAAAAAGTATATGGAGTGCAATCGGAGAAAACTAAAGTGCGAATATCCCAACCTATATTTTATTATATATTATATATATAAATATATATAGTATTTTTTATAACGATATTATGTTTAGAAAATAATTGCGCTTAAAAATAAAATTATATCAAATAAGTTTTCAAATTAATACATTCAACATTTAAAATTTCAGATTTTAAAATTTAGTACCGTACTTACAAATTCCAGTGTTAATTTTTAATTTTAGGAAACAACACCTTAAATTTAGTTAATTATTAGTCTTGGTTTAAATTTAGGATTGGCATCGGTTCTTAAAATCTTAATAATGATAATTTTACTACTAATAATTTGAGTTAGATTGGTCCGTGTTGGTAATTTTGCTCAAGCCCAAACTTAAGTCAAGCTAGACTAAAAATTTCAATTGAATTTCAACATTATTAGCAAAGAGAAATCAGTCTTGGGTTAGGTTAGGATGCACACCGTTAGTTTTGGGACTATAAATCTTATTATTTCCAAAAATATTATGGCATAATTAAATTGTAAATGATTTGATTCGATTTGATTCTACAATTTTAAACTTATGTTATTTTGCCCTCTTTTAAATTACCCCTCTTCAAATTTTATTTTTAAATTTTACTTTTTTTTAATCCTACACCTCTTCAAATGATAATTCGAATTATATTATTTTGCATGATCACTTTTGCAATGGATTTTTTTTATGGGGTAAGTGCAAAAAATATCTTTAAAGTATACTTTTTATAGTATTTTTATTCCTTATTTAAAAAGGTGTGCAAACAACACCCCTATTATTTTCAATTTGTGCGAAAACAATACTCAATTTATATAATACTCATTTTACCCTTTACTCTCCCAAAAATACTCCTACCAAACCTTACTTTTTCTTCTTCTTCTTTTTCTTTGTGTGTGTGTGTGTTTTTTCTCTTCGAGTGATTCTTAGACTACAAGAATGTATTTGATGGAATGATTTAGAAGATTATGTAGCAGCAAAATGACCATTTTTCAGTGGACTATGGTTTGCCTTGTATGGATTCCTTCAAGTATACCAACGGGCATGTGGCCTAGTGGTATAAGATTCCCACTTCTTAAAGGGAGGTAAGGATTCTAATCTCAGTGGAGGCATTGTGTGTGATTATTAATTAAGAAAAAAAAAAAAATTTCCTTTAAATATCAAGAATTTAATTTGTTCATATCCATTTGACCATGAAAATGGAAAGATTTACAGTCTGAAAAATGCATAGAGATTGTTACTAATCCATCGAGAGCTTTTTGTGTGGGAAGAACCTGCTGACAACCCATTTTGCTTTATACTCTGTATTTGGCATATATAACTATAACTATGTGTGTGTGTAAACCCAAACCAATTTGTAGTTTTTTTGTTAAAAATTAAAAATAAAAAAAAAAAACAAATCAAACCCATTTTGCTTTCTATTTGTTATATATATATAAACCAAACCAATTCTGCAGAAAATGGATGGTGAGGATGAAGAATGCAACATTGGATCGATTTCTCGCGAATACCACAACACGATTCTGACGTTGACTAGCAGCAGTGATGATGGCGGTGACGCGATTCCGACGTTGACGAGATCTTGTCCGGCGACTAGTAGCGGCGATGGGCGACGTGATTCCTACGTGGACAAGGGGTAACAGTATGCATTTGATGTGATCCATTGATTCAAATTGATTGATTGGGCAATGATCAATTATTTGTGGGTCGATTTCGAATAGAGTGAAGGAATTCAGAATGATTTGTGGCTTCGTGGAAGAAGGGGTGGGCGATGGTGGAGGTGGTGATGGTGGGTGGTGGTGGAGGTTGCTGGTAGTCTTCTCCAGTCTTCCCTTCCCTCTATGCGGCGGCAACCGATAAGAAGAAGGAAAAAATCCCTTTTTAGTCTTTTTATAAAATATAGTTTACATATAATATAAAATGTGTTTCTATGGATATTTTAGTTTAATTTTTATAAATATAACCTATTTGCATAAATATTATAGTGTTAGAGTGTTTTTTTTGCATGAAAGGGGTGCATTACGTACTGTAAATATTATGTATTGTAAGTATATTATAAGAATGTTTTTGCACCTGACCTTTGTTTTATCCTCAAGGATGAACAATTGAGATGCACCTGACCTTTAAAATATTGATTAGGATTAAACAAATGTTGGTTTTTAAGTAGACTAGGTTATTGTAAAGTTTTACAAGGGAGTGATTACTAATTTGAGATGCTAATTCACGATTTTTAATGTATACAATATAGTGTCGAAATATTCTGACACATTTGTTTAGTCTATTCATCAAGTCGGAGTAATTAAGGTCTTTGATGGCTCCCATTTTCGGCCATTAAAGGTTCAGTTGCTTCAGTTTGATAGATTTGTCACAAAGTAATTAACTTTAAATTATTTTTCATAACAGTCAAGAAAGGGAAAGATTAAAAAATATTAGATTTTTTCCTTGCAAATTAGGTCCGGGTAAGAAAACTTGAATACAATACAATTATTTGAAGAGTTAAATTCTCCACCGACTAGACTAACGAATAAATTATTCAGAATAATACACCAAAGAAAATTTAAAATTCAAGAACAGGAGACAGTTGTACTATTATTTAAGAAAATGTACCTTTTCAATTAAAATTGGTAGCAAGTGTTGATACAGTAAGATGGGTCAAATTTTGAAATAAGAGGGAAGATTTGCGTAATTATAGAATGTTAAGTAAGAAAATTTTACTTTTATTTATTTATTATTATTATTATTATTATTATTTTTATTTCACAGTAAAGTTTTGAGCCTTTTGTCTAGCGTAATTAAACAAAGGTTCGATGACATACCGGCGTCTTTCTTTGAAAACCCCCCCCTTGCCCCATTCTCTCTTCTTGCTCTGTCCGTGTATAATTCTTTACACAAAGATTAACTCTGAAATTTGAGCACACAACAAGTCTCCCCTATTATCGATATAGCTTCGGAAGTAATACGTATATATACATATTCTCTCTTTATATATACTTAGTATTCTCATTCACACACACATGGATTTCAAGAAAGAGAGAGAAAAGATGGGAGGAGATGAAGGGAGAGAAGGCGATTGGGAGTGCAGTGGATGTGGGAACAGAAATTACGCCTTCAGATCATTTTGCAATAGGTGTAAGCAGCCTCGCCTTCTCGTCGACACCAAAACCCCTGCCGATTCTAAATGGCTTCCTCGCATTGGCGATTGGATCTGCACTGGTAAATACCCATCTCTCTCTCTGTATATATGTGTGTATATATATGTATGAATGTGTATATATGCGTGTATGCCAGTGTACATTCTTGTGTATCTGATATGTTGGGTGGGTCGATGAGACGAATATGGTGATTAAGGATGCAATATTTAGAAAAAAAATTGTTTTTTCATTTATCTACCACACTGGTATGTAAATTCTTAAAAATTATCCCATTTGCATTGGGATTTTGAAGTTTTTAAAAAAGTTCGGTACACTAGGTTAAGTACAATTACTTGCGATTATACGTTGCGTCGATTATTGTAGTACTTGACTTGGTGGCTAAAATTTAGAATTCACCTAGGTATCCGACCTACCTTAAAAAACGAGACCACATGAGTCATATGCCCTAATAATGTGCTAACACGCCATCAACACAGGCATATCGTACCTGTTAGCCTCCTGCAACGGGGAGGGTTTGGGCCAGGGCACCCTAAACCCTACCCTACCTTGACCTGTTTACAAATACCGTGTCCCGCTGCTTCTTTTCTCATGAGGTGTTGCTGTTCAACTTGAGAAGAAAAAGGAAACCAAAAACATAATCTAACACACCAACATTACAAAATAAAAATAAAATCTTATTAATATTGTTTATTATGATTCTTGAAGCAAACAAGAGAAAATTTGTCCCCCTAAACCCTAATAGCAAAGTCACAGTTTGCACTCTCATACGCCAACGACGGCATATAAATGTAATTTGTGTGAGAGTGAGTGTGAGAGAGAGAGAGAGGTCTAATGTGAGTCAACCCTAGTTCATAATTATATACTAAGTAACCTTGGGTCTTGGACTAACCGGTGCTCGCCAGATGTCCGTGATAACACGACACGGACATGGGATATGAGTTGGACCCTTCATAATGTCTACTGGACACACAAGGATGTGTTGGTTGATGCTTGTGAAGGATTAGAATATTTTTTTTCAAGTTTTATTTGTTAAATTGGCATCCATTCACGGTGTTGGGAAGCTTTGTGGTTCAAAAATGGCAATATGGTTCGGAATCAACGTTCCGAAGGTTGATGACTTTGTGTTTGTGCATACGCGTTGTCTTTGTGCTGTTTTATGGGCCTAGCTGAGCATGGTTTCACGCAATTGCTTGATTATTGACCATGCTTTTAATACGCTGCCTTTTTAAAGGTCAAGATGATGCCACCTGTCTATTTGAATGTGAAGAGATGGAGACATTTTGATTTTAACAAAAGTGAAAAGTAATGGTTTACAACTCGGTAATAAACCATTGTACTTTACTTTTACTAGTACAACAATAAATATCGTGTATCAGTATGCATACAAAATTAAGCCTTGTTTGTTCTCCCTTTCTAATTATGCTTTGACTTTGCAAATGAGGCAAAAAAATATAGTAACGAAATAATTTTTTCTAAAAAAATGTACAGCTTATATATATATATTATATTATATTTATTTTTATTAAAAAAATTGATGTCTCAAACATAAAAAAGCTTTATGTCTTCAAATTGTCCAAATACCCGTGTCTAAATTATTGGACACTTTTTAGCTGAGTCTCCGTATCTTATAAATTGATAGATTGATGAATCCAACTCCTAGACATGCACCCGTATCCGACAACCGTACACGAGTCCGGGTAACATAGATTATATATAGAGGGTAGAGCTCTGAGAATAAAACAAGGGTACTTATGTAATTTCAATATATAAACAGGCTAGGATGGGTTACCTTACTTTTAATCCCGGTTCTAACCTTAAAAAACCTTACTTGCCCCTATACCATTGTTGTAGCATACCATCCCCGTCTCGTTAGGGGCAGCGCGGGAACCAGCCATGTTGGGATAAAGCCGTCTCTATGCGTGATCATCCCATTAGGTTGCAACCATATCTCGTCAACGACTTTTAGCCGCCTTGGCTCTATTTTCGCATCTAATTATCATAATGGTCCTAAAGCCCTAAGTTACCTCGAAGCATGTCCTATAATACCAATTCACTCCAAGTGGCAGACTAAGATAAGATTGTGGCAAGGATGAGTAGTGCTACCCTATGAGGTGCAAGCTGGTATGAGAACCTTTTGCAGCTTTGCCCTCACTTATATGCTATAAATAGACCTCCACCTTACATCACATGGCTGACTTTTTGATAGTCTTAACTTTCAACTTGCTTAGTCAGTTCGGAGTGTTTGTCAGGTTGGTGTAATAACTCTGTCATCTAAGCTTCAATAAGAAGCTACACAAGTGTTCGATTAGACCAATTTAAATGCGAGAATGGAATGAATTTAACTGACTTCTCCAAAATATGCATGTCTTTATTATTTTATTTTATTTATTATTTATTTTAACAAGTAAAACACACACCCATTTGGTCATATCTTCTATGTTATAGTTTTATATAGAAGTAATGAATAAACTGATGCAAGGAACGGATTGATTGAAGAAAAGGAAAGGGGTGAGGGAGAAAGGATGGAATGGGGTAGAGATGAAGAAACACATAAAAAGAAGGGATTGAATGATATTGAATTTATTAAGAGGAGAAATAATGATATACAGAGGGTTGCGAGTGAGGCAAATTGAGAACTCACTTGGGTAGGATTAGCAATTTTTGTCCAGTAGTGAACCTGCAGTCAAATTTAGGAGTTTCAGGTTTTTACGCATTATCTAAAATGGATTTGATTTTAGTATTGTTACTCACCCTATTTCTAAAAGGGTCAAGGTTGGTGCATCAATGGATCACTGTATTGCGTATTTATTGGTAAAATATTTAATATTTATGGTAATTTGTCATGTTAACTATTTATCTTGACTTTATGCTCTAATTTAATTATATGAATTAGTAACAATATTATTATATTATCATATCATATTTTATATGTTCATAAATTATTAAAAAGTGACTTTTGTATTAAGTTTACTCTTAAATTAAAATTTTGAAAGACAAATAAAAGAAATTAACTAAACAACTAATATGGGTTAGGTTTGCATGGATGAAAATTTTAATGGGTGCATTTAGAGCAAAATAATGTGTGATTATATTTATATGTGCTCCACTTGATCACCCCTTTGAAATCGGGAAAACGTGAGAGAGATATCTTTAATTTGTCGGAGCTAATCTATTGAATTTTATTCTTGTTGTGATTATATGACGGAAAGGAATACTTCTTCCTTCCCTCATGGAGAGGAATAGATATTCTAACTTCTCGTTGTAATGACCATTATAATGGAATAGTCATTCCAACTTTTGTTTGACTAACGGAGTACTGAAAAATGAGTGGAGAGCTGGAATTGGCTTTTCATATCATTACATTTTTGTATTAAACATGACCTGAGAAAAAAATGTGAGAAAGGGAATTTTGTATGATCAAATTATAAATTAAAGAAATACTTAAATATGAATTATTTTCTCTAAAAATACCTTTTCTAAACTCTTTATTTCAGCACATATTTAATATTGTTGAGCTTCTCTGCTTACTTCATCTATAAGGCAAGTTGTTGGGGGTGAATTTAATTCCCTCTCAATATAGTTGTCAATTGCTTGCTCCTTAGTTAAAATCTGTATATAGTTATATCAAATCAATAAATATAGACTTAGCTGAAATTATCAAAATTGTCCCTAACATTACAAGAATTAAATACTACCCAAAACTAAATTAATGGTATATTTTAATGGCTCTGAAAATTTAAATAAATATGAATGATCCTTCCTAAGCTAAAAATCTAACCAAATTAGCCCCTCAAATCTTCCTTTTGAAAGTAAATTGGCTGCCTTTTGCACTCTAAAAAAATATTCGTATGCATAATCTAGCTTAAGACATATTTTGTCTAATAAAATCAAACTTGTAGAAGCCCAAAAAGCCTTAAAATAGTTTTTGTCACATTTTTTCAGGGTTGATTCTATTCTTTGTGTGACTAGGGATTTTTAGCTTAGGGCCAATTAGTGTAAATGTCCAGAATATGTCATCTATGTTACGTAAACTCGGGTACGGGTATCGGACACGGGTATGTATCCATGCGTCGGACGTGTCAAATCTCCAAATAGAAGGACACACGGACACGACTAAATATTCATTTTATTAATTATTTTATTTTATTTTCTAGAGAAAAGTAATGTTTTTATCTAATATAATGTTCAATATAGGCATTTAACTCATTTTAAAGTAATAATATAATGTAATTAAATGATGAGATATGCTTTTTAAGTACATGTCCAACCAAAAGTGTCGGACACATATTTCATACCCATGTCCGAGGGATACGTGTTTGACACGGGTACTTTACTACTTTTGAAGAGTCCATGTAACAGATTATGTCATATACACATATACTTTCTAATTATTACTCGTAATTGAGATTCTTTAAAAAAATTATTAGTATTGAGAATAAAATATTTAATTATCCTATATTTAACCAAGTTGGTTTATCATAAATTTTTACTAATCAGAGAATACAAACTTATTAGTACTTTCTAATTATTACTCGTAATTGTGATTCTGTAAAAAAAATTAAAAGTATTGAGAATAAAATATTTAATTATCCTATATCGAACCAAGTTGGTTTATCATAAATTTATTACTAATCAGAGAATATAAACTTTTTTAATACTAAATTTATACTAATCAATCAGAGAGTATTAACTTATTAGTATTATAGCAGAGTCTTCATTGTGTTTAAATTAGTAACTTATGATAGAATTTAGTCTGTTATTGCAGCTTGGTTATTTGTTAACTTTGTTTTTGTCAAGTCGAGGTTAAGAATTGCTGTCAGGTTTGAGTGTTACATGTTATTGTATGTCTAATTTCGTCTGAGATGGGCTGGTTTGTGTGGGTATTCTTGGCTTCTTTTTCCTCTCCCTGGCTGCATTATGGGTTGGGTGTGTGTGGCAATGGATCAATAGGTTGCACTAACAACAATTATGCATCAAGAGAAAAGTGCAATAAGTGCGGGCAACCAAAGGAGGTAGCAGCAATGCCGGCAATTGCAATGCCTGGAGGTTCTCTCAAAACCCATCCACATTATTTTGTCCGGGCAAGAGGAGAACCAGAGCAACAGATGAATATCGGATTGTTAGGCAATGGAGCTTTGCAACAGTCACTACCTTTGAGTTTTAACTGGTCTATAGGAGGAGCTGATACATATGGAGTTCAGCTGGCTTCTACTTGTCCTCCAGGTGTAAACCATCGTTCTGGGCTTCCATATGCCAATCAAGCGAATCAGCTTCTTATGGCTCCTAAAGGATGGCGCAATGGTGACTGGATCTGCAGCTGTGGCTTCCACAATTATGCTTCTCGTGGACAGGTATGACCATGTTATGTTAAGACGTATTGCCAACTTACAACAAATTACCACTTGATTCCCTAGCCTGTTGGCAGCAATGTTAAATTATTCTTGAGAAGTAGAGGCTGGGGGAGTGGTATCCTATCCCCTTAGATTTCAAAATAGCTGTTTTTTTTCCCAGTAATATGATTTGGCTCTGTGTTTTATATGCAGTGCAAAAAATGCAATACTTCTATGCCTCCAGGTACGCCCTCTTCTTTTGTCTGCATAGCAATCTCAGATTTCTCTTAAAGTGCTGTGTTGCTTGTGGGTTAAAAATAAAAACTCACCAGGCTTTTGTGTTCAACCTTACAGTTGAAGTGTTATCATATTAAATTTGTGCAACACCTTGCAGTCTTAACCTTTTACAAATGTTCAACCTTACAGTTGAATTCTTAGAGTCTCATCCATATTGTTTGCTTCTGCTTATCCATAGTTAATAATCTTGCTTGTTTCTTTGTATATATCTGTGCTCTAGTATTTTTATTCCTTTTTTGAACCATCATTAAGAGTTCCCAAGAAGTGAATGATGTCATAGCATCAATCTGCTTCTAGGAGTAATTTTTCATGCTGTTGCCCAATGCTTGGTAGGAGAAATTTAAAGATTTCATCATGGTCCCACAAGCGTCCTATGGGTGTTAGGAGCCCTTACAGCGCCTTGTAAGGGCTACGCAACATTCAATTCACCTGGACTAAATTTAGAGTTCTGCCTTTTCGAATTCATGGTTGGTTTAAGTCTTAAACTTGTGGTGTTAAACTGTCTGGTTCCAATATTTTCTCTCTCAAACATAATATGCATAAAAACCACATGCAAATTATGTTATTATCCGTTTTTCTTTAAAGTGATTATAACAAAAAAAATAAAAAATCTCTACAATGCTATGTTTGTTTGCCAAGGAAAGGTAGGAAGAAAATCAATCTTAAAATTTTCATGCCAGGTCCTTCAATATTTAAGACCACTTAAACACATGTACACATTTGTTTGAGAATCTTGAGGTAGTTAAATGTTTTTCCAACTCCAAAATTCAAGCCTGGTGGTTTCAATTTATCATATGACTTGTAATCTTAATTTTGAAGCCTCAACACAAATGCTCTTCCTTTTCATTTAAGCTAACAACATCCATTTTTGCACACTTGAACCGTTTTGTCCTCGGGTTAGTGGGCTGTGCCTCTGCTACGAGACAAAAGCATGGTCAACGCTGAGCCACTTGTGACAGATCGATTTAGCAGTGAATTATTTAAAAAAAATACATTCTTGTACTTTTTTTGGCTAATCGGATTATGGTGACTATTAACCTTCATTTGGTTTTTTCATATACTCAGTTTAAGCTTCCAATTTTTTTGAAGGCTATTGCTGTGTTTTGTTTCTTAAATGTTTAAACTTGAAGTCAACTGTATTTATTTGAATATGTTTGTAGTGAGTCCCATAAGCTGATTCTGTATCTGATTTTTTGCTTAAATGTTCCTTGTCGGTTATTAAGCACTCGGAACAAAGAGATTAGCATCTGAAGAATTTGCTCATGACTGGAATAGCAAGAGATTAAATGCAGGACCTGTAAGGACTATTTCCTAGTATTAAGTGTGAGATAGATTTAATCACTTTTGTAACCCCCTGCTTGATATATTTCTTTTGCCCTTTTCCCCTCCGGTTTTTGAACATGCAGACACCACATGGCTTGCAGCAAGCATACCCCCCTGGATTCGAGCAAATGGCAGTTTCTGATGGTAATCAAGCAAATGGTTTGTATCCCCCTTATCCCAGCGGAAGCTCAGCAGCTGCTCCAAATTTTCAAGTCACCCTGCAGTTACCTCATCCAGTGACAACACCTACAATCCTTGGGAAAGGGTAAAATTCTTTCATTCTTTACATGAACTCTAATGTAAAATGATTTTATCATGACCCAACTAATAACATTCATGTGGGATTTGTTTATTTTTCTTTTCTATTTATTTTACGCACCTTTTTTTTTTTTGTATTTAGATTTGCTGCATGCCAAAATTAACAATGAAAGTTTATATTACGTTTGCTTTTGCAATATCATCTTCTTCATTGTGGATGAAATAGATATATGAAATTGTTGATGAAACCCCAAATTATGCATCGGATGGTGTAACATGGAATTAAGTTTAGATCTCACAAAATATTTGCTAGCCCCACACAAAACATGAACACCTATGATTATGAGTCTATTTTAAGAAGCAACATTTTTGTTGTAACCAGTGCTTTTCTGATTAAGGTCTGTAATGCTTTCTGCTGTGACTTTACAGAGCAAAGCAATGGCGTGATGGGGATTGGATGTGCACAAACTGCAACAATCACAATTATGCATCACGAGCCGAATGTAATAGGTTAGTCATTAGTGATCTAATTTCATTGTGCAAATGGCGCCTTATTAAGGAAGAACTTGACATTGGTATTAAGAAGCAATCCTGATCTCCCAAACTAAAACAGAAACGGTATACTGGATGACATCATGGCTGAGAGGTGATCTTTTGTGTCGTACAGTATAAGTTGTGCTGAAAGTTTGAAGAATTGTTTTCACAGGTGCAAGACTCAGAGAGATGGATTTTCTCAAGAATCTCGGCTAGTCAGTGTCTCATAGCTGAAAAGTCATGGAGGGTTACATTGTCATAGCATCAAATAGCACATGCCTGGGTTTTCTATCATGCTGGTGAGAGATTTTAAAATTGTTATAGGCTAATTTTTTTCTTCAGTACCAGGAATGTAATGGCCAGTTCAATGGTTTTTGTCTCATGGAGTGTGGGCAATAATGACATGAATCCATAAACCTCAGCTTGTGTTCTTGCTATTAGTGTTAGAACCTAAGATGATATCACAATATTGCAGATAAGGAATAGATGTACATCTTAGTCTTAGAATTTGCACACAATGCTGCAAAATTTAACAAGAGAATAAAAATGTTTTCTTAGTTTTTATCTACTTTATATCTAATTATGTGGTCTCTCTCTACAACCCAATCTACATGAATTTTATTCCCATTCATGGATTCATAATGTCATATGCTTATGGGGGTTGATCATCAGCCCTTCAAAATAGAGGTAGGAGATAGAGGAGGAGAATCAAGTTGGTAAAGGTTGAGAGCAGGACCGACGAAGCGAAACAGTATCCAAGCCCCAATTACGATGAAGATGGAGGCGTAAGCAAACTTGTTAAGCCAGAACAAGGCACCCTTCTCTCCCACATACAGCTCTATCGCCTTCTCTGTGATGGTCATGTCCTCCCAGTCCTTAACGGCCTCTGCCTTCTTTGGCAGTCCGTTGGTGATGCCATCCTGTTCTTGCTGTCTCTGTCTTCTTCTTGACCCTCGCCGGAACCGGATCTCGACTGTGTCCGGTGGCGTTATGCGAGGCGTGACTGTCTGCGATGCTTTTTCGCCGTTGTTGTTGCTGGCTGTGTCGTTGCTGCTGCTGCTTTTGATGGGACCAAATTTAATTGGTCGGAGGTGGCGGTGGTGTGCAGCTGGGGGGATCTGAATTGGGGTTGTAGCTAAAGGTTTTGGGGGAGAGAAGAGTGTAGAGTTCATTGGTCTTTGGTTTGGCTAAAGCAATAGCCAGAGACAGTGGATAGCTTTTCTTATCTTTTACAAAGTGTGGGGTTGACGGATATGGCGAAGAAGCAACCCACATTTTATATGTTTTTTTAGCCAATCATTTGTTGCCACGTCACCAAAGGGCTGAGGGGGAGTATTGTGTTTCGGTCATTTGGTATGACGAAATACATAAATTGATAAGGTGCGGTCGAACCCTGGCTTTCGTCTCTGTTAATTTGAATTTTGAATGTACATTTTTCATTCAAATTTCTTTTACTTTTTCTATTTTATAAAAACTTTTTATATAATTAATTACTATAATGTATAATAAGTACTAAACAATTTTATTGAAACCCTTTCCTTTGTCATCGTCATTGGAAGGAATTATTTTTCATTTATCCCTTCTATTTCTTTTTCTTTTTAATTTTTCGTCCATTTTACAAAAGCAAAAAAATACGCATTTTACTTTTACTTGATCTCAAAATTTTATTGGCGGTCTAAATTTACCACTAAAATAAATTTATTGACATTCGTATCCCAACTCCAAGACTACTCACCAATTTTTGTGTACATCTGTTCAATTTGTTTGGATGTAAAATATTTTGGATAGGCTCCATTTGTTTGGACGTAAAATATTTTTTATTTTTATTTTTTAGTGTTGGATTGTCGTAAAATATTTACGAAGAAAAAAAATATTAAAATTTAATAAATTTAATTTATCAATAAATTTTTAACAAGTTATTTTATATGCTCCGCCCGATAGACTTAATCTCAACTTCGACGTAAACCTTTGTCAACCACCGACAAAGTAAAAATAAAAGAATATTTTACATGAAAAAGAAGAATATTTTCTAAAATGAATATTTTATGTCGAAACAAACCGTGCCAAAAAAATACCCTCCTGTATTATTCATTTTTGAGCAAATTATCCTCTAATCATCAATTTTGATTAATTTTTTTTTATAAAAATTTTAAAATACCCTCCAAAAAAAATTATTTTATTTTTCTCTCTGTCCTTTGTCTCTCTTCAAAACCTCTATGTCCATTCATCACGGTGCCCGCGAACACCATTTCCGGCAGATCAATACAACAATATTTTGCCAAATCTATTAGAAGCAGATTCTTTTTAATTTGTCTTACTTACATTTGAAAGATTCTGATGGTCTTTATCATGGACAAAGCAAGAACTACTTAGATCAGTAAAAATTAATATAAAGTTATAGAAAATGGAAATATCATTCGTCTAGCTTCCAGTTTAAATTAATACCTATATTCATGATAATGCGAAAAAAATGAGCAAATATTTTTTGGTTTTATTTATCATATATTTGTTGTCTTTGTGATATTTTTTTTTTTTTTTGGATACTTGTATATTGTTGCATTCGTATCTTGTTGCATTCGTGTCCATATTCACATTTGTGCTAAGAACATATAGTGAAAAGTCATAACTTTAACTTGTTTATAACATCTAAATATTTTGGTGGGATAAAGCAGGTTCAAACATCTATGACATTACTTAAAAAAGTGTCTTTTTTTTTCTTTTTTTTTTTTAGTTAAGAACATATAGTGAAAAGTCATAATTTTCGTGCATTGATTTTTCTTTTTTCTGGCAGTTAAGGATGTTCTATAATTATTAATTACCCAAATACAAGTAAGCTTAAGACACTTTCATAGACATAATAAAGACATCATAAGATCAACTAATGATGGACTCCCATTGGATAATAGTTTGCAGGAAGTATCCACAAAATTTTAGTCATAATACCAAAAATAATAGAGCCATGCAAATGTGTAGAAAATACAACCAATATAAGCTATATGATAGAGAACTGATTGTCGAAATTTATATGACTCGTTTGGATTATTAGAGGATCGAATGGGCATATTGACATATTTTCTAAGCTGATCTCGAAGTGTCCTTTTTGATCCAACATGAGATTATATTGAAAACGGCCTAACGAGCATGATGTGCATCACTTTTCGGCCTAATAACATCGTTTAGAGCCTCAAAACGATTTATTTATTTTTTATTTTTGTATAGAAAGCTTGGTGAATATTTTGAAATATTTGTTGGCAGTCTAAACGAATTAAGATTGTTCTCAATTTCTATATTTAATAGTTTTTATTGACTAGATTTCTTATTCTATTTTTTTAGAATGGAGAAATTTTATTTTTAAATTTATTTTTGTACGTTAGTTTCCTGTTATAAGGTTTTCTTAATTTTTTTATGATTTAAATTTTCTTTTATTATAAATATACTCCCTCCGTCTCAAATTAAGTGTCCTCGTTGGTAATTGTGACTCACATAAAAATGAGGCCACAATTACTAACGAGGACACTTAATTTGGAACGAAGGGAGTATGTAATAAAATTATTCATTTAATTATCAATAAAATATAAAAATTTCTCTAAATTTTTATCCCTTTAACTCTGTGTATTCAAAATTTGACGTCACTACAACAATTTAGTGGTATCTTTTGTTCCAATCTCTCAATATATATATGTGTGCGCGCGCATGCGTGTGTGAGAGACAAATATGATGCATGTATTGTGGTCCAATGAAAGATTCAGTCAACTTGAAGTATTAAATAAAACAAAGAGGGATGGTAACTTTGAATTTAAAAGAGTAGGTGTTGGTGTAAAGAAAAAAATTCCAAGTGCATTAAAAGATTTTTGTGGGGTCCACACCATATATTACCCTATAACTGAAGATGAATAAATTACATGAAAGCAACCCAGTACCACACTACTCCAATCAAAATTAAACTTCCACCACAGTCTATGCGGCATAAGCATACATTAAGTGAGTTATATCTATTCTAAGTAAAATTTGCTTCCTACACGAAAATTAAATACCCAATATATAGTAACTTCAATTCATCAGTTTTATATTTCAAATCCACAAAACAAGTGATCATCAGTACAAAGAACTAAAGTTGTAGCTAGGGCTTGCTCTATATGGTTTGTTAGTCCTTTCTAGAAACAAATGAGAAGTAAAGCAAAAAAGAAATGAGACTAGTATATCATATGTGTGTGTGTGTGTGTGTGACTGTGTGTGTGAGAGAGATCTTGGGCGATGATATCCTGATGTTATCTTTAGAGATATGATATGGGAGAGAACATAACAACATGCAAGAGATTCAAGAAGATGATAATTACCCGAAAGAAAAGGGGTGTAGTGTACCAGTGGGAGGGAGGGGGCTGCGCACTCTAGCCTAGTGCACTTGGTGTTATGAGGTAAGCAAAGCAGCTTTGGATTTTAGGATAAGAAGACAAGTTTAGGCTTCAATTCACTTCCAAATCAAAATCCAGTTTTATCAAAGCAAAGTAAATACCCATTTTGTGTGTGTGTGTGTGTGAGAGAGAGAGAGAGAGAGAGAGAGAGCCAATGTAAATTCATGCTAAGGAAAGAAAAATCTCATGATTGTAGTGTCATAATCAAAAAAATAAGGCAATCTCAAAAAGTAGAGAGAGGGAGTCTGCAACAGTCAGAATTGTAGAAAAAGGGGAATGAGATTGTTATGGGTTGAATTCAAGGCTGGATATTTCTTTCTATTACCCAAACTCTAATTTTGAGAGAGAGAATGTCTGTGGTTTTTTTTTTTTCTTTTCCTTTTTTCTTGATTATAATTATTTATGGTCAACAAATTACACATATCATTTAAATTTGAGTATTTTTATGTTTTGTGAGAGTTGAACTAGGAATGCTCAAGTTTAATTACATCTCACCCCTTGAAACCCCTTTACACTATTTAAGTGTCAAAATTAGCGTATAAATATCCATTCAAGGTTGCGTATGTGTGTGTTTTAGCACCTTCAAAAGAAAGGGAGCACTTCATCTAATGACTCGTGAACACTCTAAATATCATGATTTTGACATTTAATCATATTCAGTACATGTTAAAATCTAAAGTAATGTACATAAAGAACATAATTAAGGGTTCAAACTTAGTTGGAAAACTACATGCAGGAACAAAAATGGAGCTACCATGTTCCACACGCTCCAAAATTGAGCGTGGTTTAAAAGCTAGGGTTCCCCATCACAAAAGTAAAGCAAGTACAATTCTCTCATCAAGTAACCGGAGACAGAAAGGTTCTCATAGAGTGGTCATACATAATAATAGACCACAGAGAGAGAGAGAGCGCTTTGTACTCAGATATTACTAGTACTAAAAAGTTAAAAAGTAGAAGAAAATGATAGAGCTTTTAAAAGTATATTGTAACCCCTACAACTCCAACTAGGCTATGTTGGATGCAAAAAAACATTTATTTTCTGGGCGCATGCTCCGTAGCACAAAGGACTGCACTGCACACATATTTTCACTGTGTGCTTCTTCCTCACCACCCTCTATGCATTTACTTATTTTTTTGGTATTATTTTTCTCTCTAGTCTTTACTATAATTACTCTTACCTGCATCTTGTTTCATTTATATATTTTTTCCCGGGGAAAGTATATAGGAAATATTGTTGCTACGAGCATATATTGTAGATATGATTAAAACTTAATTATTGTTAAAAAAATAAATTAAAAAATCAAGGGACTAAGGATTTTGAACTTTTCTCTTAGATAATCCAGAAGTCGTTTGTGCGCTATAGGGTAAATATATTGTGAGTGCGGGCATTTGCTTAAACTTATAAAGAAAAAAAAAAAAAAGAAGACAAGTACGAGTTAATTTTGAAAAATAATTTTCATGAACTTTAAAAGCAAAAATTGCATTTTCTGAAACCGATTTTTCTATGTATTTCTTCTTCTTTTTTGGATTTTAGGTTACAGGTTTTCTAAAACATTATTCAGATGAACTTTATAAATACTGTTTCCAAGGAAGTATTCATGTTCATTTTATTTCCTATTAACCCTCATTTTTAGTTAAAACTAAGTTAGTCTCTTCTTGATCAATTAATGTCCAACAATCAAAATCCTTAATTATCATCATCATTATTATTAACATCATCACCATCTTCACTCCTTTAATGAAACTACAAAGAAATTAAAAGATATATGAGAACCGAATTTCCAAAAAAAAGAAAAGAAAAAAAGAGGAGGACTCAAATGTAAAACAACATACATTAATTTTCTAATTTTATGGTAAGGTACCCTAGCATCATTATGGATGAGCCTAAAAGGGCACCTCTCCTAGCTGCTGCAAGCCTTCAATTATATGCAAGAATGGAGGAGCTAGCATTATAAATAGTTCTGAGGGGGTACGTACTTCCCATATATACCAACCACCATTTAATTACATATAGAAGAACTCAGAAGTCCACTTAGTTCATTAGTAGTGACCCAACAGCAGGTAAAAAATTAAAAACAAAATGACAACAGACTGATTATTTTTCATAGACATATATATATAAGTAGCTAGTGACAAAACACAACCCAGCCATCCCCACAATCCTTCCCATCAATTGGCCATGAATATGCACTTCTGATTTCTCCCTAGGAATTGGGATATAGAGAAAGGAATGTTTTCAAACTCATTTACAATTTTATTTGTCCATTGCAACCATGAATATATATATAAGTACAAGAGAATATATATATATATATATATATATATATATTGTATATAGGGTCTGGCTTTTGGGGCATGATAAAGAGGACAATATCTCCATTAAAAGAAGAACCCCCCATGAACTCTAAATCACAACACACCACTTTGTAGCATTCATTCATTCAATTCATTCAGAACCTTTCTTCTCTCTTTCTTTCAACTCAATATAATGTAAATCATATCATATCATCTCACCACTCTTTTATTGTCTATATATGTGTTTCAGTCCCCCACCTCTCTTCACACTCTGAAATCATTCATTCCTTGTCATGCATCATATATGTATATGCCTTATCATCCAAGCAAACTCATCCTCTCAGTCCCTCCCTTTCTAGTCTCTCTTTTGTCCCTTCCTTTTTATTACCCTATCTCTGTCAACTTCAGTCCTTCTCTCCCAGATATCCCTCTGATATCCCCCCATGTGCTCCTTCTCTCCCTCCTTTTTTTTATAACCCCAACCCCAACCCCAACCCCAACCCCATCCCATATATTCAATTCCCCACCATATATCTCATGCAAATCTTACCTACCCATCTCTCTCTCTCTCTCTCTCTCTCTCTCTCTCACACACACACACACACACACACATTCTCTCTCTCTCTCTAGGTTAATTCTTTCTTTCTTTTGTTTTCTTCCCTTTGTTTGATTAATCTAGGTATATCTCATGGAAGGCCAACAGCAACCAAATGATCATCAAGAAGGTGGTGGGGGCAGCAAAAGCACTTTTCTATGCAGGCAAAGCAGTACAAGGTGGACACCTACTACTGACCAGATTCGAATATTGAAGGAACTTTACTACAACAATGGAGTTAGGTCTCCAAGTGCTGAGCAGATTCAGAGGATCTCAGCTAGGCTGAGACAGTACGGTAAGATTGAGGGCAAAAACGTCTTTTATTGGTTTCAGAACCACAAGGCTCGTGAGAGGCAGAAGAAGAGATTCACCACTGATCATCATCACCATAACATCCCCTGCATCCAACAACAAAGACCTCCTCCTCCTCCTACTCATACTCATCCTTGGAGATCTGATCAAGACCCCATTCACAACAACAACAAATACCCTACCATCCGTCCTGGTGAAGTATCAAGCTCTTCATTTGTGTGTGTAAATTTGTGTGTTTTAGTTGGTGTTTTAGAGTTTTATATATATTTATGTGTGTGATTTGCAGGGGTTTCATCATCTCCATCTTCTTCTTCTGGCATGCTTGGCGTGGGACACATGGGAAGCAATGGGTATGGATATGTGACCATGGAGAAGAGTTTTATGGTAAGTTAATTAATGATTATAAGGAGGTTTATTATTTATTTAATTATATAAATGTGTATCTGTATATGTATATTTGAAAAGGTAAAAATTAATAGGTTTATCAATTGTTCTTGAGAAAATTAATAAGTAATATTATATGATGTAGTTGGTGAGGCACAAAGTCATTTTCTAGTTCTGTCTGTCTTTGCAATGTATGGGAATGACAAACCATAACAAAATTTACACCCATGTGTGTGTATGTAACAATATCAATGGAAGAGTCATACAATATCAGTTCAAATTAATATTCCCAAAAAATAGACAAAGAAGAGAGCAGACAACCTAGCGCTTCAGCTTTCTTGATGTACAAATTAGAAGCCAAGACATACATGTATCTCTTAATTTCACGAAGGAAAATCTTTTTTCCCTTTAAGCCAAACAAAGAAAGGGGTTTCATGATTTTTTTTTTTTTAATTTATAAAATAACATATATAATATCTGATATTTTATAAATAACAATGAAAGAATGAGAAGAAAACTTCATATGTATATGAAAGAAGAAAGAGAGTTTAAGTATCTTTGGTTTTTTTTTTTTCAATTAATATTTGTTCAAGATGTAATCTATGTTTTTAAGGTATATATATATATATATAGTCCACTGTTCTATCCTTCCTACAGCTACCTGCCTTAAATATTTAAGTTATTTAAAAAAAAAAAAAAAAAAAAAAAACAGTTTATTTCCTGAAAAAATGTATGAATCTCTCCCTGTGCACTTGAAATTTTTTGTTGTTTTTTCAATCAGGACTGTTCAATATCACCAGGTGGTGGTGGCGGATCTATGGGGCGCAATTTTGGATGGGGTGGCGTTGATTCATATCCTTTATCCTACCCTTTATGTGACATGAAAAAGTCATATGATGAAACCCTTGAAGATGAACAAGAAGACCAAGCCCCTGAGATAGAAACCCTCCCTCTCTTCCCAATGCATGCCGACAACATCTCCGGCTTCTGCGGTATCATGCCGGAATCTAACAGCTACTATGACAGTAAGGGCACTCCTCGTACCTCCCTTGAGCTTAGCCTCAACTCCTTCCCCGGCTGGTCACCGGAGTAATTTTTCCGGCATATATATATGTTCACCCGCCCAATTTATGTCATATATATATATATATATATATGGTCAGTATGGTAGTCACATCTTGTTGCTTCTATGTGCTCAAATTTGGTACTTCTAATTAGTAGTGGTTTTCAAACTTCTTTGTAAGGCCAATGGTACCAACTTTGACATGTTTCATGTCAATGTATTTACATGTTCTCTTTAATCGATCACTACCATTTTCTCATTTCACCATGCAAAAAATTAAATTTGTACCAGTCTCACAAATTGGACATAACTATGCTTTGCTTTGTTTTGTTTTGTTTTGTTTTACACCACAAAAAAAAAAAAAAAAAAAAAAAAAAAAAAAAAAAAAAAAAGAAGAAGAAGGTGAAACGGTGTCGTTTTCCATTGCCGAAGTCTGAATGTAGAATCGGTATAGAATTGAATGAACTGCTAAGTTATTACTGTGAGTCTGTCTGTGACTCACATGGTTCACTGGCATCAATGAGATGTGCAAATTAGCAATCTAATACTTTCACGCGCTTGGCGGTACTTCTTCAAGCGCGTGGGTAAACGATGCTGGACAGAGATATCAAGTGGGACCCAAAAGAGGTAAGAGGTGGAGTGAGTGCCATCCTACGCTACAGTGCGCAAGTTAGGGTTAGGGTATCCAAGTAGTACAATGACAAAAAGATTTTCCAATGATATCGATGAAGAATTAACAATTATAAAAGGGTACTTTTGAGAGTATATGCGGCCGTTATTACAAGAAAGAGTATATATTTTGGAGTTTGTGTCCTGCATCGTAAATTCCACAAATTATTAGCTTGTCCTCTCAATGGACGACGGACTAGCCTTATCAATGACCCACTTGAATATGGAATCAAAAATCATGTTCATTACTATAATATATCTTTCACATTCTTTGTTTTAAAATTTCTCTATTTCATCTCAATTATTATGAACTTTACTAATTAAATTATAAAATAAAAAATTTACAACACTATCATTTTGATGAGCAAGGTAGTGTCGACACTTTTTGTGTCACTTTTATTATTCGACTTAATACAGTGTTACCGTCTAATTGAGTTACTTTCTGAATATATAAATTCGTGATTAATCTTTGAACTTTTTTTTCCTTTTTTAATTACTAATTCTTAATATTTTTGTCTTGAAAAACAAAATTAAAAAAAATAAAAAAAAATTTGTTGGACCAGACGGCTAGATCAGTTGATCAATAATTTTCTCTTTGGCATGGTGACTTATTTGATTCAAGAAATAACATGAAAAATATGGGTTTTCCCTATAAATCAGACAAAACCATCTAACTGACATTGGGTGGTCGTTGATGTGGACGGTCAAGATTAATTATAGCAAATGGGAACCCAAAGCATTCAATCAAGTAGATTTTATTTTATTATTATTATATTTATTTTCTAGAGTGTCTGTGTGAAACAGCTTTGTAATTGAAAAGGTGTCCCAATCAAGAAGATTTTGGATGGATGCATTCCCCTTATTTGGATTGACATATCTTCAAACTTTACGGCATCGGATGACCCTAATGTCATTTAGGGCACTGAGCCCCATTTGATCGAGCCTTTTAGAGAGAGAAAGTATAGAAAATGCTTGTTCTCTTAGTTGATAGATAGATACATATAGGACGTCTTTAAAGCTTTTTGAGGCTTCAAGTACGTAAAGTCCCTTAATAGAAAAATGAGGCTTGAAATATATACATCACTCTATATAATACTTTTTCATGTAAGTTTATTTTGCAAGGATGGTAACAAGTAGGTTTGTTTGCCATTTTCATCACTACGGCAATATTTCCAGTTTTCACTCTTTCAAACCCAACCAAAGTCTTGTCTTCATTACCATCAAAAATTAAAAAGTATAATACCAGAATATAATTGATTGGTGATATTACCTAACATGATGTCAATAATAACTTAGAGAATGCTATGAGTCAATTTTGGACACGAATAGAATAGAATAGAATAATGTCTCTACCAATTAGACCGAGTGATAAGTGCAGAAAATATTAAATACTTTTATCTCTTATTTTTAAAAGTATATAAAAAATATTTCTAATCTTTTCACATTGTACAAAAATATCATCTGACATAAATTAGTATTGCAATACTCGTTTTGTCCTTTTACTTCTGAAAATGCCCGAGGGTATATATGCTACTAATCAAATACCTTATATATATATATTTTTTTTTTTTGAAACTTTTTTCTTTATATATATCTCTAAACATTTTAAATTTTTTTTTTTTTTGAGAATTTGTAGAATAAGAATTTGAATTTTTTGAGATTCCACTTTACTCTTTTGTACTAAATTTTTTTTTTCTTTATTTTATTTTTTTTCTACCAACATTGTTAACCAAAAAAAAAAAAATCTCAATATAAGTGTGCACTCGTTTTTGGACTTTGAATTTTTTTTGTTTTTTTTAGTTTGCACTTTATTATTATTTTTTTTTTCTATTTTTATCTTTATTTTTCTTTTTATTTTATATTTTTATCTTTACTTGTCAATTGTGGTCGTCCTCCAATAGTGTCATTTTTGGTCATTTTATAAAACTATTTATTTTTATATTTTTTATAAAATGGTTTAGTAAAGGTAATTTAGTTAATTTAGGGTTTAAATTTATCAGATGGACCTATTTGTACTAGATTGAAACTTTATGAGTGTTTTTTGCACGAGAGGAATATCGTCCAATGGTGTCCTTTTCGATTATTTTACAAATTATTTATTTTTATATATTATATAAAATGGTTTAGTAAAATTAATTTAATCAACTTAAGATTTAAATACTTATTTGCACAAAATTTGGTAGAAAAACTCATTTGCACAAAATATTGACACTCTACTTTTATTATTTAATAAATGTTAATAAACGAAATGACAAATATAATCCCTAAACTTTCCATTTATCATAGAATCTTACATCCTTAAATCTTTTCTCTCCTCTTTTCGGATCTTGTTCTTCCTCTCTCTTCTTATCCCTTTTCTTCTCTCATCGGATCTCTTCCTTTCCCTGCCTAAATATTTATGTATTTATCTTTAGCAGAATCCACATTCACCTATTCCATCAATCCCGTTAAAGAAGTATATAGAGAAGAAAAGTTTTTTAAAAAAATAATAATAATAAGGTAATGCGTACATAAAACTCATATACTATGAGATTATTAGCATATATATCTTATTGGGCATTTTCGAAAAAGTAAAAGGATAAAACGGGTATTACAATACTAATTTATGTCAGAGGGATATTTTAGCACCATGTGAAATGATTAGGGGTATTTTTTGTATTAAATAAGGATAAAAATATTCTGCCGAATATACTTTAGGAATGTTTTCTATACTTATCCCCCAACCCCACACACACGTACGTATATAACGGTCCCGCTCACCCTTTTTTTAAGCTACCATTGAATACATTCATTGCGAACTTAACATTTTCTTTGAATAAAGGGTGGGATCTCTGGGGTGGGTTTTTCCGTTTGGGGAGAAGCAGATGTTTTGTTGGGTTAGCTGACCTATTCCAATTTTCTTTTTCCCATTTATGGGTTGTACATTACTTACTCTAATATATGAAATCGAACTTTGAAAAAAATAATAATAATAAAAATAAAATAAAAAATCAATTGGGGTAGAAGGAACATGTCTTTTTTATGTTGTGATCGTTATTCTATTTTTTTAAATAAAATAAAGTTCTCTAAATCGGTAAACTACCAAGTGTAATATTACAAGCCTTTGAACTTTCTATTAACTCTATATCCTATTTGTTTTAATCTTTCCCATCTTCGTCATCAATGGCATGGAATCCTGATGCCTTTGCTTCTCCCCACTTTCCCTTTACTTTCCTTTATTTATTTCAAGTTTATCCTTAGATTTCTGTAGTTTATATCACTTTATTTTAGGGAGATAAAAGTGATTAAGGTGAAAACAACACGGGAGAGAAACATGCTAGTTGAATTACTGGCTACCAAATGGGAAAGAAACATGCTAGTTGAATTACTGGCTACCAAATGGCCCAATTACACTGCAGCTGGGACTCAATGAATTGGAAATTCTTCAACTTCATAATAACATGCTAGTTGATAGCCTAATTTCCAACAGTCATTGGGTCAACCCTAACACCTTAGCTGCACCAGTTCTTTCAAACCAAAAGCTTCTTATCACAATTACAAGAACTGCCTCTCCCTACCACAACTCCAGATGTTATTGAATGGTTACCTAGTCCCACAAAGGAGTTTTCTATGTCACACACTTACAAGTACTTCACTCCACCCTCCCCAGTTTTCCATTGGCACAAACTAGTTTGGTTCAAGCACCATATACCTAAGTCTTATACTATGGATGGCAATGAAGGGAAGATTAAGCACTCTTAATGCCAAACCTGTCCTCCACAAACGTTACGCTAACAGCTGCTATTTATGCAATTCTGCTTGGGAGTTCATTGACCATCTCTTCTTCAAGTATGCCTACACTTCTCGCATTTCACTACAAGAAAAATGACTTTTTATCACGGTGGAAAATGATTTCTACCACGATTTTGAACCGTGGTAGAAACAGTCGTGGTAAAAAGTAGAGACTTTCTACCACGGTTTTGCACCGTGGTAAAAAGTCTACTTTCTACCACAGTTCCGCACAGTGGCAGAAAGTCGTTCTTTCTATCACGGTGCAAAACCGTGGTAGAAAGTCTTTACTTTATTATCACAGCCGTTTTCACTATAGTTCAAAACCGTGGTAGAAAGCCTTTTCTACCGTAGTAAAAAGTCAATTTTCTTGTAGTGTTTTCTGAACGACTTTCTATCACGGTGCGGAACCGCGGTAGAAAAATAGACTTTCTACCACGGTGCATAACCGTGGTAGAAAGTGTTATATAATTTATTTTTTTTTAAAATAGTGTAGCCCTTACGAAGCCTTTTTTTTTTTTTTTTTGTTTCCCTTCTACTAGCCTTGCACCTGAGAAGCAAACCATAAATAAATAAAATATAACATGATAACCAAATTAATTTACAACTGACCAATAACATCATAGATATATATATATAATCAATTCCAAATCATTGTTTTATACAAAAATTAACCATATACAAATTTCAAAAAAGTACATGATCCACATCTTATATATTTACTTTACCAAAATAAAACAAAAATTCTTCATATCTTCTTGCAACTTCTTCATGAGCCATACAAAAAATATAGCGGCAACAAAAAAAGTAACGGCAACTGCAAGTCGCAATCCTAGCTTTGACCTACAAAGATGTAATAGTTGAAGTAAGAGAATTCATATAAAGCAAGTTGTAAAATTGTCAAAATTAAACCAAGCAAAACAAGCATTATAATAAAGGTACATTGAAAGATCTACTCTTCGTATTAACTCAAGCAAAACAAGTATTAAAATGGTCTTAACTCAAGCAAAACAAGTTCAGTGTGTCAAGGAAATAATCCCAGGATTAAAGCTTAAGCATGGCTTATTTAATAGGTTATTGAAAGTACACAACCCTCCCAAATTGCTCACAAGAGGGCTTTATTCAAGAAAGAAAATGACCTTAGCTAATTCAATTTTTCTTTCTTTTTGACACTTTTTTAGGACTGAAACCTGGCCAGGATAACTCAAACCACCCTACAGATGACTTTACTGCAGTGCTATGACAGCAATGGCCAGTAGAGTTGCCACATCCAATTCAAAATCCGGTAAAGAAAGGCTATAATACATGATGTCTCTCTTTGCATTCTTCTAAATCATTTTGCATAATTAAACAGATTCTTTTAGAAAGTTTAGTAGATCTATTATTTTTTTATAACCTTTCTTCTCTTCTTTTCAAAGGGAAGCACCTAGTTTAATTAAATGCTAATTTATCTTGCTAAACCTATTTTGGTATACGCTACCAATAGTAATGGAATCAAATAAATGATCTAGGATGGTTTGTCAGCCATATTATATGGACTCAGTTACTTGTGTCTTGAGTTGGTAAATGTCAAAGCAGGTAACTGTCTAAGGTTGAATATATCAAATACCTAAATCTGAGGACACTGTTAAATAAGAACTATTATTGCCTTCGATGATATGTCTTTTATGTGACATTTAGATTCATATCTATATCACCTTCTATTTTAGCACAGAGGTCATGTATTCTAGTACCAAATGGTGATTTAAGGGACTAACCTAACTCTAATTTCTCACATTAAAAAACAAACTCACTTTTGATCTAAAGCTCACCTTATCACCACCATGTACATATGGTTCAGTTCTTAGGCGCATTTTTTATTCTTTATTTTTGCCTTTCACATTTGCTTTTATATTCCGTGCCATAAATTGAAGCTCAATTTCAACCTCTCAGAGACAAAATACATGACGACCACACACGTGCACAACATTCATTTGGACGCCAGTGTTTTAGAGTTTAGAAACAACTATATTTTCATTGTTGGTTATTCAAGTGTATTAATAAGCATAATGAGGATATGTTTCATAGTTTCTGGATGTTTTTCTTTTGGTATATTTTTCTTAATTACCAAAGCACTAAGAACTTTCACTTATTTAAATTCAGATGTATTTTTTTTATTCAAGAACAAACATCATACAATCATATTCCACTATAGTAAAAAAAGTAATATATATATATATATATATATATATATATATATATATATATAGAGAGAGAGAGAGAGAGAGAGAGAGAGAGAGAGAGAGAGAGAGAACAGATTAGAATTTATTATGAGAGAAAGCAATCATCAGACTAAGAAAAACCCAATCGCACCATGACCTCTCTGATCTAGCAATTCCACCCCCTCTGCCTTTATAACAAAAAACAGCACAACAGCAGAATCTAAACATATAGACGCACAAAAAGCTAACAAAAGAAAGATAGACAAAATGGTAACACTACGGTTAAGCAAGCAACTCATGCTAACGCAATTATTATTGAAGTGATTGGGATCACATTATAACTTAGCACGCACAAACAAATACACACAATTATATAGAGAGAATGAGAAGCCTTCACCACTTCTAGGGGAAACTATATATAAATACTTCAGTTTTTAATTTTAAATTTCATATAAAAAAAATTGGCAGACTGTGTTGGCACATTGATTGGATTGGGAAAACATCACTTGGTTCTATTAGATACCCACAATAAAAATCAACTAAAAAAAACTACAAAGGAGTCTAATAACAAAAATTATAGAGATGTACAGAAGTTTACCTGAGAAACAAACTTTCCAAACAAGATTTAAAGCTCACCAAAATGAAGATGAAGCACATTCTGTTAGAAACAAAGGAAAGGAAAAAACTATGGATCAAATCAGTTCGCACTAAGGTTTCATGAACTTCCTACAATAAACAAATAAATCTGAAGGAAGCCCAAAAATCTGTTTGAAACAGTTTTCCCAGCAAAATGTACTTCCCTTTGAAAATTCATAAAAAAATAAATTCTCAACCAATTTGCATGAAACCAATGTCCATTGGAAGTTTAAAGACTATATTTTTCTTCTATCAATTTAAATCAATAAATTTTCTTACCGATTAAATCAGGTTTGAAGAAAAAGATACAAAAAATTATGCTCACAAAACAGTTTTGACAGCATGTTAACATCAACTTCGAAAATCCATAATAATTGCAAAATACAATCAATTTGAGCCAAACAAAAGCCTGTAAACTCATTAACAATTGTACTTTCATATCCAAAATTTAATTTAAAAGATAACAGTTCTAAGTATAGAGATTTGAGTTCTAGAATTAGCATGTTTAGTTTCATTTTCCAACGCAATTCTTCATTTAAATTCTAGCAATTCTTCAATTAATTTTACTCCATTAATAAGAAGGTCGAAACCTACCATACCTACAATCTATATATGTCATAAAATCGAGTGGTTTGATGATAAAACTGTACTAATCCATTTCTTAAAATCGTCAGTCGATAACTTCACATTTTTTTAATGGAGCAAATTGGTTATAGAGAAATGTTGGAACAAATTCATCCTTCGGAACAAGGCAATTTACATAGAAGTTATTTGAAACGAAAACTATGTAAGGAGATATATGCATTCTTAAAAAGAATTCACAACATATGATGATGATGAAAAATAATCCACCAGTGCTGTAATAGGAATCAGAACTAAATTAAATTCAAAGAATGAAACTTCAAACTTACATCTGCTCGTTACATGATGATAACAATTTCCTATAAATGCAAAGCACAACTTTTACGGAGCCAAAATGCTCATTCCTCAAATCCTTATAAAATCTCTGCTCTAGGTAATCAGTAATCTGTATAAGAACCAACAATGGAAGTCACTTCAAAAAAAGTCATAGGCACTTTACCAAGGTTACAAAATTTAGAGTAACTTTTTTGGGTTCGACAGAATTTTTGAACTATCAAAAATTTGTCATTGGGTTCAAGAGATTCATATTTTCATTACTTCAAATTCTCAATTGTTTTTGACATTTTCTTAATCAATATTTCCATTATCTTTACAACAGGGGGAAAATTTGAATTAAATAAAAAACTCTAGAAACTAACCGACTATGAGCATAAAGTTAAGAGCACAAGGCAAGGCTTGCCTTTAAATAAATAAATAAATAGATATTGGCTTCTCTTGTCTCTTAATGTGCCAGGAAAATTCTATTAGACTATTAGGTGATAAATTTCAATTTGAAACCGTAACTAGAAAAATCTTTCAAAAAAAAAAAATTTGATGGGTTAACTATAGATTAATATAGTGGCTAAAAACTTTATATGGTAACTGCAAATTTAAATTTAAATGTTGAATTTAGAAAGCTTGAATTTGCTTGAGTCGGGATTTCTGATAGAGCCATGAATTGACATACAATATGAATTGAATTTTCAGAACAATAGCCTCTTAGTGAAAGGGAAGTTAGGCCGTACCTTTGGTATTCGTAATGGATTTTTCAAAGCATAATCACAAAGCTTCCTAATTTTTCGGTCATTTGGTTCAGCATCCTACAAAAGGTGATTGACATATTTGATAAGCAATATCAGAAACTTTTAAAAAGGATAAACCCTAATTTCGTAAATACATCAACAAAATTGAAATCCCTAACCTGTTCGTACGCATCCTCTTCAAAAATTGAACTCCTCTAGCCCAACTCTAACATCAAAATCGCATAGATGAGTGGTGAGAAGAATAAGAATCAAAATTTATGTATCCATTTTAATCAACCGAGTAAGTTTTGCGAACACACACACACACACACATACGTGTATAAATAGAGAGAAAAATAGATTGGAAACAATCCTAGCAGCAGCGGTCGTCTGCAAATCACCGAACACACCTTCGCGTCTCTAATGGAGGATTCCAGATTTAGGGTTTCTTCTTTATGGGTTAGGGTTTACTCTGACGGCCAACTGAAAGAGGCTTGATGGAAAGAGGGAAAAACATTTTCACCGGTTAGGGTTTTAATCTGACCAGCACTGTGTGTGTTTTTTTTGTATGGGTGTGTGGATTTATCTCTGAGTTTTCATTCGATACAGCTTGAGGGAATCGTGGCATAGCCATTCCTAATCTAGTCGCTCGCCCTCGCTCTACTGAATATATATTTATTTTATTTTATTTTTTTTGGACTGGGCAAGCATTCAAAATATCAGCGGGAATAACACCCGCTAATATAAATTTACTTTCAACCACGGTTTAAGAGGAACCCTGATAGAAAGAGGTCCTTTTTAACCACAGTTTTAAAAAACCGTAATAGAAAGTGATTTTTCTATCACTGTTCGGCATTTAACCGTGGTAAAAAAATCATTTCTACCACGGTTCTTGTAACCGTGGTAAAAAATCATTTCTACCACAGTTCATGCGGAACCGTGGTAGAAAGCGTTTTTTATCACGGTTAATGCGGAACCGTGGTTAAAAGTTATTTTTCTTGTAGTGTTTGGAAGTTTATTCAGGAAGTAGTAGGATTTTACATCAGGCCTGACAATTGAACACAACTACTGCATTGGTGTACTGCCCACTGGAACTCCTCAGATTTCCTACTACACAAATTACTTTTAGCTGCGGCTGTTTATCTAATCTGGATGGAGAGGAATGCTAGAGCTATAAACAACATATCAGCCCCATCCACTAACATCATAGCTCAGGTGAAGAGTTGTGTTAGAGCCAGACTAGCAACAACCAAGCTCACAACCAGTTTTGATTTGAAGAAAATCCACTCTATCCAAGAAATGTAGTCATTGTTTTAGCAAGGGTGTGCCTGCTTTGGTCGTCAGCTTCTGCTATCACCCTGACTCATGGTACTGAGCATGCTGAATTTGGAATAATCATACTACTAATTTGATGGAAAGTTTTCTTGTTAATCAGAAGTGTGTTTGTCTTTTTTGTATTTCATAGTTGGGGTTATTGTTTTGGAATGTTTGTTTGTTCCTTGTTTATTGTTTGTTGTTTGTTTGTTGTTTCTCCTAATTGGGGCATCATGTACATTCTTCAATCTTATATACAAGCTTACCATTTATCCAAAAAAAAAAAAAACATGGGAGAGAATGGAGTAAAAGGGAAGAGAAAGAAGAGGAAAATCAAGATGAGGAACAGTTGTAGGTTGTTTTTGTTGTATCAATTATTTAAAAAATAGGAGTAGAGCGTCTTAGGTGTGTTGTGGAGTACTATTAATATCATCTCCCTTAAATTTAATATCACAAATTTGAAGTGCACTTTTAGATAGATTTTGCGTGTTATTTATAATATTGATGATTAATTTACATCTGCTTCTTAAAAGAAGCTAGGGTATTTGGAAAGAATTAAATGTGAAACTAACTCAAAATTAAATTAAATTTTCAAGATACCTCAAAGTTACAATATAGAGATTGGTTAGATAGGCAACTTGAATTAACACAACTTTCCATAATGAAATCTCAGCTTGAACTTCATTAAGATTGGGTTTAGGTTGAGGTGATGACAACTCTAGCATATATATATATATATATATAATCTGAACCTAAATTATATTTTTGTTTTTATATTTTATATGTATTGTACATAATATTCAAATTATGATCATTTTTTTTTTTCTTATTTACTTGCTTTGTTTAAATCTTTATTTAATTATTGTATGTTAACACTTTGGATAATTAATTTCTAATAATTTGTTTGTAATTATTTAAAAATTTGCATCACAGGTTTATAAAAACTTATGCCTAAAAGTAATCTAATTTGAAATTTTTTTTTTTTAAATAATAATAATGCCTAGGAGTAATCTAACCTAAAACTAACTTAAAAGAACACATCAAATTTCGTGTGTTTGCAAACCAAGTATAAGATTTGAAGGATGGGTGATGTATTATTTTCATAATATTATTATTATATTTATTTTTGATAGTTTTTAGAGAAAGTTTAATTTGAAGCACTTTCGCTATGTTTTTAAGTTTCCTTTTTACTTTAAGTTTCCTTGTAGTGCCTAGGTTTATAACTAAGCCCCCCTCTCTCTCTCTCTCTCTCTTCTGTCTGTCCTAGGTATCACTGAACCCTCTCCCTCGTCTGTGCTATGGCGGCCACAACAGAGCTCCTTGTTAGTGCTTTTGGTAAAATGTGTGGAATTGATGATGATGATGATGATGATGGTATTAGATTCCATGTGAAAGAGGAAGAACGTCGTCGTGTGTTTCAACTTCTTGAATTTGTTTCGTGGATGATACGGGAGAATCCGGGTCTGAATTTTTGTGAAATAAAGAGGCAAATACAACGGCAAGTGCAGGCCACAGCTCCGGCGGAGAAAGCGTTCTTGGATGACAAGTATGAACGACATTTGGAATTGATATTGTTGAAACGAGCCATGAGGGACTACTTTGGGGGTCATACGTCAGTGCCGGATTGATGAATGATCGATGATGATGATCCATGTGGAGGAAGAAGAAGTTTGTGTCACGCATAGAAGGGATGCCAATTTAATCCGGCCGTCCAGTCTATGTTACGAATTTGGAAAATAGTGTAAAACCCGCAAAGCGCTCGAACCACCCCAAATTTTTCAATAATGTACTATATAAAAAGTGGCTAGAATATTAGAAATTATTGTTATACCGTGCTCCTTTGCATGAAGTTGGTATTTTACAATTGAAATTGAAAAATAATATAGTTCAAATTTTAAATTAATTATTTTTTAAAATCATTACAACCAAACATAGCATTAATAGAATTGCACCAATTACTCGTTTTTTTTTTTTTTTTTCAACTTCTAGCGTTCTCTTTTTCTTACTTTAGCATCATTATGATCAATTGATTTAATAATATATTGGTCCAAAGACCAACCAAATTTTATTTTTTCCAATAGAAATAGAGAAATACGAAAGAACTTGCATTAGGGAGAGAGAGGCAGCCTTTATTGAAGTTGGAGGAGGAGGGTATGTGCATTTGGTGATTCTATTTGTGATCTTGGAATAATGACTGATCCATTCAAACCATCTTACATGATTACTATAGGAAACTAATAATAAAAACAATAATAATGGGACAATTAGTGAATCAAAATAAATGCATATTCTTTTTATTATAACAAAATATAATCAGTTAGTGATACTATGTGATACCTATCATTATGCAAAGTTTCTCTATGATAATATTGAACTAAAGACATGCACTTAATTGAGATAAAAATAAATTGAATTAGTCATACACGAATTAAGCTTGAAGAGACTAAAACATTCCTGATTCAATTACTTTGGGCGCGCATTTTAGTTATTTTACAGTTAGGCTTCGTTTGTTTCGACGTAAAATATTTTTTTCAGTATTTTTTTATTTGTACTTTTCGGTATTTGACAAAGGTTTAGGTCGAAGTTGAGGTTGAATCCTTCGAGCGGGATGTATAAAATAACTTACCAAAAATTGATGGATAAATTATTTTTGTAAAATTTTAATATATTTTTTTTCTTCGTAAATATTTTACGACAACCAAACACCAAAAAATAAAAAAATATTTTTTGCAAAATATTTTACATCCAAACAAACGGAGCCTTAGTTGGATTTTTTTTCTTTTTTTATATTCAGTAATAGAATGGCACTTTATTCTTTTCATTGCTCCATTGACAACTAAAAAATCTCTAATAAATACATACCAGAAAAAAAAAATATATATATATATATATTATTTGACAATAGTTCTTAAAACCTAGCAGATTTTGTATACCTTTTTGATATAAAAAATAAATAAAATAAAAAAATGGTTTAGGCCTAATTTGAGTTATCTTAGTAGCAAAATTATGTGCATAGTGTTGGTTAAAGTACCATAAATGCGCCTTGACTGTATAAAATAGCCCCTCAAACACAATATTCCCCGTGCCCAATTGGATATTGAGACCATATAGCTCAACCTCCAGAATAAGGAAACTCAACGGGGAAGAGAGATCCATTCTCAGGGTAAAAATGCTGGTAAACATCATGGGCCAATTGACCCGCCATGCCAGATCCATGTTTTTTTTAGGTAAGTTTACATTAGATTTCTGGGTCAGGCTCTAGGCCCCAAGCTAATATATTAATATCCCCATAAAGAATGCATTTGAGAATATATATTTATATATATATATACACACACACACACACATGATGCTTTTAGATTCATATATAGTCTACTTTATTGAATGACTTTCTCATTGAAGAAAAACAAAAATACAGCCTTTTTCTCATCCAGTACAAAACCATGACCTTAATAAATGAATGTCGCCAAAAAAAAAAAAAAAAAAAAAAAAAAAAACTTCAATCGTGACTAATTTTTAGTTATTAGAAAACCAAATACTAATGCATAAAAAATGCTTTTCTTGACGCATTTTCTTCTCTATCATGATCATGCATGCATTAATCTAATTGAATCCATGATCATGACGACCTCGACCTATTGGAGACTAACCTTCTTGACTAGTTGTACTTCCCTTCTTTCTCGAAAACATCCCTCCAATTAAAGGGATGATAAGCTTGGACCTCTTCTTCATCTTTGTTTTAGGAGGATGTGTAGTAGTACTCTCTACCACTTCACCAACATCTTTGCTAACAATGACTTGAGCTAGTGCAGGAGGACTTGCAAACTTCACTGATCTCTTCTTTTGAAACTGATTATTATTATCCAACTCGCCTTGATCTTCTTCTCTCTGTGTTTCCACGAACTTGATCTCTTCGATCTCGGGATCAAGTGAGTGTTTCTGGGATTGGGACTGTTGATCTCTTGAGTACTTCAAATGTTGTAGCTCTCTCTTGGTTTGTTCAAGCTCATCCTTGAGAGATTTAAGGCAGTAAGCCATCATATTACTCTCTTCTTTAGCCTTTTGAAGACTTTGCTTTGTTTCTTCAAGCTCACTTGTTACTGCTCCAATTCTTGATGACTGCAGTTGTCTATTTTCACTTGATTTTATTTGCATCTGCCACAAAATTAAGTGTACATATATATGTGTGCAACATATATATTAGCTTATAAACTCTATATGCAAACTCTTCAAATTGATCAATAGAGAAAAATAAAAGCATATACTCCATATTAGAACAATAAAAATATATATATATATAATATTATCCGACAGTGAGACTAATTTGACTTTAATTTTATGCAAGCTAAAGAGAAGAAGTACCTCTTTGAACTTGTTGGCATAGATTTCACCGGCTAAAACTCTCTCCCCAAATAACATGACTGCTTCTTTAACGGACCGGAATGGTGCCCGGGTGTCAATCTCTGCTCGCCCTCTCACAAAAACCCCTTCTTCTCTTTCCATGTTTGGTATTAAACAACTTACTTAATTATATATAGTCTCAAACTGATCATGCATACATGCACAAGCACTATATATAGAGAGAGAGCTAGAGAGAGAGAGAGATTGATGAATGAAGTGACAATGATCTCCTCTCCTTTATATATTATGGGGGGGAGAGAGATCGATCGAGAGCTAGAGAATGATAGTTTGTTAATTATGGTGGGATCGATGAAGTTTGATTAGTTAAAGGAAGTTAAATAAAATCATGGGGTTCATTTCTTCGCGTCCACTTCACTAGAATTCTGTTAATCGACTGTGATGCTTGGTGGTTGCCACATCTTAATTCACTTGAACACAAAGCCCATCAACTTCATCTCTCTCTACAGAGACTACCAGAAGTGGACCACAGGAGAAGGCCCCACCTTGATTTGGACCAGGCTTATATAATACTTGCATATATCTCCGTCTTGGTCCAGTGGTCCCCACATTTTTACATTTTAGGAGTATATAAACTCTTCCTATAGGTCCCACTAATTTGAACTGATTTAAATAAATTATGCTAAAATGATGATGTTTGCCTTTTAATCATATGGATGATGGGTAAGACTTAATTTTCAAAATTTTCAGTTCAATTCCAGGTTTTGGTGAGGAATCTAGTAAATTATCCACTAAAGAGCTTTGTTCCCAAGTTGAAAGGTAGAGATGCAACTTGGATTGAGTAATCAAATTTAATTTTGAGTTCAGCTTAATTTTTCGTGAATTTAGGCAATTATTATTATTATTATTATTATTTTTTTTTTCTAGTTGGTACACATACTGCTTTTATTGGGGTTTGAATCCCTGACTTCCCTTTGAGAAGTAAGGACCTTGTACTATTAGACCACAGGCATGTTAGTATTTAGGCAATTATTTATATTATTAAGGTTGGACTTGGTTGAAAAATCTGAACTCAAATTTAATTAGAGTTGAGTTTGTGTAGAAGTGCTACCATCCCGAATCCGAATCTAAATTATAATATTATTTTTATATATATTTTTACTTATAAATACATTATATATAATATTTAACATCTGTTTACCTTTTTTTTTTTCTTTTTTTTTTCAACTTCTTTTGTTAAATCTTAACCTATTGTATGTTAACATTTAGGATCCTTAATTTTCTAATAATTTGTTTGTAATTTATTAAAAATTTACAAAAAATTTCTATAAACTTTTTATTGTTTAAGAGTAATTTAAGCTAAAATTAATTCGAGATCATATTAAATTTTTGGTTTGAAATTAATCATGTGAATAACCTGAATTAACCCGAAGTTTTAAATCGGAATTTAAGCCCGAATTGTAAGATTGAATTAAAAAATAGAATGATTGGTTGGGTTTAGATTGGGTAGTTATGGTTGAAGATGGAGTTAAAGTTGAATTTGAGTTTAACAATTCATATGGTGAGTTAGACTCAAGTTATATCTCAAACCTGTCCAATCTGCATGAGTTGCAGCTCTAGTTGAAAGTTTCATTACACAAGCTCTAAGCTAACAGCCGGGGGCAAACCCCGCCCTATGTATATATATGGTTTTTATTTTTATTTTTTTTTTTTTTTATATATTATGCCCCTAAAATTACTACAAAAAAAAAAAAAAAAAAAAAAAAAAAAAAAAAAATTTACCACGCACTTTCTACCATGGTTAGAAGCCCCTTCTTACCAACGATTATTTTAAAACTGTGATAAAAGAGCTTTTCTATCACGATTAATGAAAAACTGTGATAATAATTATATTTTTTACCACAGTGACATGATATAAGGTGAATTTATTTCACATTTCACTTCGATATAGTACCGCTCTTTCTATCACGGTTAATAAAAAATTGTGGTAATAATTTATTCTACCGCAAGCACCGTGATAGAAAGGGTAATAGTTTACGTGGGTTTTATTTCTTCTAGTTTTTTAAAAATAAAAAATACAAAAATATATATACTCACACATACGTATGGACCACACACATACAATTTTAGGGCAAATCATTTCAGCCTCCCTAGTCGGCTCCATCACTATTCTCGTTCTCAACTCTGAACTTGCCCTCTTTCTGTCTCTGCAACTGCAAACTACAAAATCTACAAGAATCAGAAGTTCGAAACCCATATAATTCAGTTTATCTATCTGTCTGCAAGAATCAAAATTTCAAAACCTATTACCTATATCAAAACCCATATTGGCATATCATTTTAGATTGTTGAAAAAATCAAAACCCATATCCTTCAGTTTCCATCGCCCGCTGTTCCAGTTCAGGTTCGTCGTTCGCAAGCTTCAGCCGCTGGCCCTCTGTCTCTCAACTCTCAAGCCCCTCTCTTTGCAACTGCTAACTTGTATGTATGGTTTTTTTTTTTTTTTTTTCCAATTAATCAAGGTCTGTAATTCTTGTTTTGCAAACTAAATCCTATTTAGTGAAATTTTTTATAAACTTTTTATTTTTTATTTTTTTTATGAATTTTAGTTATAAATATTTGTGAAGATAATGACTGAATTTACTTATCAAAAAAAAAAGAAAAAAAGAAAAGATAATGACTGAATTTTTGGTATTCTGAAATTTTAGTACTGTGTAGGGGTCAATTTGATACTTGTATCAGAATTGGGTTTTTGGTACTGGGTAGTTTCACAGTTGTAATTTATTTTTTCTTTAGTTTGTCTACTGTTCTTGTGAACTAGCTAATTATTGAGGAGTTATTTATTTTATTTCTGAATTAAAACTTGTATGATTATATGGTTTGATTTGATAGGGTGATTATAGCTTCAGCCCCTTTCAATCGTGGTTATAAATTCTTAATACATTTGGTATCTTGGAATCTTTTGTCCTTATAATGTTAAAATCTGCAGAGTATCTTTAGCTTAATAAAGATTTATGAGTAGGTGGCTGTTATTGGCATTTATTTGATTGATTCTTTTCAATTTGTGTAAATATATCCTTGTACCAATTATTGATTTGAAGAATTTTATGACAAATTGGCAATAGGATGTTGATTGGATATAGGTTGGATATTATGAAAATGATGGGTACTCTCATCAATGATACTTTAGAATTTCTTGTGGCAGTTCTTGTTGACTCTGATTGTATTTTTATTTTTTTCTTTTTGGTCTTATCGACTTTAATCTGATGATATAACTATTGTGTGGCCGTGTTAAAAAGACAGATGTCAGCAAATTTTGACCATTTCCTTTCCTTTATGCAGTGTGTGCAGCTCCAGGTTCAAAAACATTCCAGTTACTCGCGATGATACACGGATCAACTGAATATGGTTCTTTACCTAGTGGAATGGTGATTCTATTTCTCGCTCTTGGAAATGTATTTTTAGTCTCTGTCCTGCATTTGGACCAATCCACATCGAGAGAAGAAATGGAAATCTGCAAATGTGCCTTATTATTCGCTTGCATGATTGCATTTTCTTTCTTTTGTGATGGAATATTTTTTCTGCATTCCAATAGTATGTAGTTATATTTTCTTTTATACTTTGCTTGGTTTAGGTAATAGCAAATGATGTTGACGTCCAAAGGTGTAACCTCCTTATCCACCAAACAAAAAGAATGTGCCCTGCTAACTTGATTGTCACAATCATGAAGCGCAACACTTCCCTAGTTGCCATTTAAATAACAATCATTCTAATACCTCTGAGACTGGAGTGTTGAAGGAGCCAAATCTCAGTCAACTTTTATTTGATCGTGTCTTGTGTGATGTTCCTTGCAGCGGGGATGGTACTCTCCGTAAGGCTCCTGATATATGGAGGAAATGGTAGTTGTTCTGCATTCTTTCTTTTTTCCTTTTCTCCTTCTCCAAACCACCCCCCACCCCCCCCCCCCCCCCCCCCCCGAAACACCCACACCCACAATCACACACACATACAAATCCTGTTTTTTGTTGTCTTATGCCTGGTGAAATTGTTTTAATACAGGAGCATTGGAATGGGTAATGGGCTTCATGGTCTACAAGTTCAGATTGCAATGTGGGGTACCTTCTGTACTTAACTTTTTTCTATTTTAAAGGTTACTGAAATAGTAGGTTATCAAATAGGCACCTTCTGTACTTAACTTTTTTCTATTTTAAAGGTTACTGAAATAGTAGGTTATCAAATAGGCTCGAGTCCACTATAACTTATAAGCTCGCTACTTTTCACAAAGTTCAAAAATAGATTAGTTCTTAATGACATCTCTGCCCGAACCTAGCAGCTTGTGATGCTGAAAGCTTGGTTTGGGATTCGACATGTATTACCCTCACTTGTTGAAAGTTTAAAATGATAATCGTCTTTGTCAAGTTTGACTTAAAATTTAATAGTAATTTTTCTGTTGGTAAATTTTTAAGTGATCTCAGCTCAGTGCCATGTCTTTTCTTTTCGATGCCTGATTTCAAATAGTATGAATTTAGCGAGAAAGATAAGTATGTTTAATTGTTGTATTTTGTTCCTTTGTGTCTCCCCAAGTGTTGATGTATGATCTGCTTTGAAATCAAATTAGTTTCAAGTAGTTTTATGAGTAATTTTGGTAGAAGATAAAGCTAATCACAGGTCAATATATTTTGCATATTAAAGGTAAAAATGATAAACTTCAGCTACCTTTGTACTGGGTACATTTAATGTGGTTTCTCAGAACTTGGAGATTCTGAAAATCTTATATTTGAACATAAGCTGTTGATGTGGTTTAAACATAGATGGATGAATCTTCACTTGATTCTACTTGGTGCTTAAGTTAAGAGCTTTAATTGGGCAGGTTAACCTGTGATACCCCCTAATTTTGGAACACGGATTGATCAAGTCCGCGCACAAAATCAAGGGATATCAAAACAATTTAAGTATTTAACAAGCACAGAATACAAAGATGAATAATAAAGAATAAATAAACCGCTGAAGAAAACTAATAAATAAATATTACTTAATGCTTCTCCAACAATTACAATTCGGAAATCCCATAACTCAAGGACCCCTTAAAACATTATCCAATAATCCAATACTATTTAAAAGTACACAAGATGAATAGACGAATGACAGTCTCCCAGCTGCGGATCCTCAACCTCGAGACTGGAACCTCTAATAACCTGAAAAATAAATCGTGGGTTAAACCCTACGAGCAAGTTCACTCTACCAGGCCTCTGAAAACCAATAAGCAGATCATCTCTGATCAAAACCAAACCTAATAAAGTTTTAACTTTAATAAAGCACGATATACATGTCTATATATAATTATATATACTATACTAATCACATCCATTAATAGGTTTATTAAATTTTCATACCTATTAAATAATTATTAAAATAATATTCATACCTAGACCAATCTACCATTTCATTTTATAAAAACTCCTTTGACCTTAATCCCATCCTAGTCAGTTGTCTAATCATTTAAACAACAAATTATAATAAAAGAAATACTCTATTTAATCCCAACCCGATAATGATTTAAATTGTTTAAATCACATATCCAAAATCCAAGTTTTGACAAATCATCCACGTCTTCCCCAATATTATTTTATTAATGTAAAATAATACACTAACCAGTAAGTACTAAACTATTCTCATTTAAGAATATCTAACCCTAATCCAATCCATACATACAACAACCATAGATGATATTTTAATCATCTAACATATAACAACGTAATTATGCTTTGGCAAATCAACCATGCCATTGTAAATATTTTTATTTATATATTGGCAATTCAACCATGCCTCCATAAGTATATTTATTTATACATTGGCAATTCAACCATGCCTCCGTGTATGTATATTTATACATTGGCAATTCAACCATGCCTCCACAGGTATATTTATTCATACATTTAATTAGCAATTCATCCATGCTTTCCATATATGTATTCTATTCATACAAATATTTAGGTAATATATTTAATCATTTGACAATTCATCCATGCCCACACTTTAACCATGAATTAACTTTAAAATTAACAATACGCTAAATCATACATAGCCATCACATGCATATTATACGCATATCATTAATTTAACAACCAGCCTATTAAGATATGCCAAATAAGATTGATAATATTAATCATCTTAAATGATTTATATATATATATACCTACACATATGTTATTTAATGTATATATGTGTTTAACGCCTTCTTTAATAATCTTTGATTATTTAAAATCAATATACATACATACATACATATATATATATATATATATATATTCATCCTTCCATACAACTCATAGACAAATTAAACTATATATACCCATATATAAATAATTATATATATATATATATATATATATATATACACTTCCTTCCATAACAAATTATTAATTTATTATATTTACACAAATTAGTGCAACTAAATATGTCAGAAATAGTTTCCTTTAAATACTCCATATTGGTTTAAATAGTTTTCCGACACTTTCTCACTAAAACATAAATATCTCCTAGTAGGATGGGAATCTGATAATGAAATTGGTACCATTGGAAAGAAGACGAAAAATCCTTGAATTTGAGCCCAAGAATGACCCAATTTCGATTTAAAATGACTAAGTTATGACCTTTTTAATTTCTAGTGTCGAATTAGGCCAACATAGTTTCCCACGCGCGCCCACGTGCTTACTATGCACTTGCACGCGCTGGAGTCAAGCCTCCTTGTGTGCTGGTATTGGCTAAGCTCTTTCAGCTACCGTGAGCTCACCACACTGAATCCATCACTTCCTTTATGCCGCATCCAATGGTCATAAATGAGTGCGCAAATGAACACGCTCACACTAGATTATTTTCTATTAACTATAATAGATCTAAGGTCCAGATCAGCGAGTGCACCATCTTCTCATGGTCTGCAATACACCAAATAATCCCATAGTTGACCAGACCACTTCTATGGTCCAGATACACCTGCGCACCAAACTTTTATGCGCCGCGATGCACCATATCAATTCACATAAGTTTAATTAATCAAATGGCCATAATTGGCATATACACCCTATTATCCTACACCGCGCTGCACTGGATCAATTCTTTATTGTGCCGCCGCTCCACATGCGCCAGTTACCTAGTGTATATATATATATATATATATATATATATATAATTATTTTCCTAACAAATAATAGGAAAATAAATCCTAATAAATTCCTAAAAATATCATAAAAATTTCAAAAAATTACAGAACAATTCTAGAAAATAAAGAAACCATAATTAACTCTCTTGGGTCACAAATCCACCTATAGATTGATTTTAAAATATACATAACACCTATATATATCAATTAAAATCCAATAATCTAAAAATCAAATATAATAGTTTATACTTTTTAATTATTCCGATCTAACCATAATTTTTAAACAAATAAATTTAATTAAAGCCTTGATACTCAAGGTGAAATCCTTATGAGTTCTAAGAGGAAAGTTAGAGAAAACTCGCCTGAAGGTTTCGAAACGAAACCAACGCTTTAAGCTTTAATTATCTCTTCCAATTCCGACGTCCTCCTTTTCAGATCCGACCTCCTCCTTGTCAGCCCTTCTTCTTCCTCTCTCTCTGTCTGTTTTATTTTTCTAACGTGTAAAACCTTTAACCCTAAAGCCTTATATGTATTTTTATACACCTTAAATTCCAAATCCTATTCCAACTAGTATTATGAATTAAAATAATAATCTTTAAATAATTTATATCTATAAACATATATATATATAAATATATATTCCTTCCATAATTAACTCATTAGTTAATTAAATCATATATACTTATAAATATCAATAAATATATATCTATATATATATCTTTCCATAACAATTATTAATTAATTATATTTATATATAATTATATATATATATATATATATAATTGATACAAAAGTGATCATTTAAATAATTAAATAACCACAGACCTTCATTAATTAACCCAATAAGGTTTCATACAAGCCCAAGACCACATCTTTTGGTCCAACTTTCCTTAAGCCCAATCCAATTAATTTAAATAAATAAGATAATTAATTAAATACAGAAATTAAAATAACTAATTACATGAAGCACATAAACAAACAAGAATTTACAACTAAGTCATATAATACCAATAAAATCAACACACCAATAATTCAATCAATAATCAACCACACAAACAATCAATCATCATACATAATCACGAAATATAACTTAATTAAAATAAGAT